TTTATATATTCTTGATTATTTTTAAAAAAAAATAATGAGGACAAGCTGGGTGAGGTGGTGCACACCTGCAATCCCAGTAATTTGGGAGGCTGAGACAGGAGGATTGCAAGTTCAAGGTCAGCCTCTATAACTTAATTAGACTCTATCTCAAAATAAAATATAAAAAGGGTTAGATCCATAGCTCAATAGTCAAGCATCCCTGGGTTCAATCTTCAGGGCTGCAAAATAAGTAAATAAAAAAAAAAAAACCAATAACATCTTGCATAAAAATTAAGTTCTCTGGGAACTTCTTTTTTTTTTTATAACCAGTTCAAGGAAGATTATTAAGCAATAAACTAATAGTAGATATATTGGAGTATTTGCATTATCATGTTTGCAAACTACTTCATGTATATTTTCTTAAATCCTCAAACGTATTAGAAGTATGATGACTTAACCTTGATCTTTCAGAAAATGATTAATAAATTCCTAAAAACATTGTACATGATCAAGATATTCTTATTTATAATGCATCAAATAGTAAATATAAAAAACAATATTATAAATATATGTATTTTTATCCATCACTCTCAGAAGACATATGATATCATAATATTCTGGATCCAAAGTGAGGCAATAATCTCTGAGCAAAATCAAGTAGGCAAGCACAAGAACCATAATGTAATTTTGTGGTCACCGGTTGTTATAGTTTGAACATGAGGTGTCTTCTAAAAGCTCCTGTTAATGCAGGAATATTCAGAGGTAAAATTATTAAATTATGAAAGCTGTAATCTAATCAGTCCATCCTAGTTTGAATGGATGTTACCTAAATGTAGGCAGGTGGCTGGAGGATATGGGTCACTAGGGGTCTGCCCTGGAAGGGATCATCTTGCATGCAGCTCCCCCGCCCACCCTCAGCACCTTTCTCTCTCTGCTTTCTAGCCACCTTGAGCAGGACAGTAGTCCTACACCATGCCCTCCTGCCAGGATGTTCTGCCTCACCTCAGGCCCAGAGCTGTGGAATTGACTGACCATGGATTGAACCCCTGAAACCATGAGCCAAAATAAACTTGTCTTCCTCTAAGTTGTTCTTGTCAGGTATTTTGGTCACAGTGATGAATAGCCAACTAATACACTGGTACTGATAAAGGCTAGTAAAAAACACAAGGGCCAGTACAAAACAACAAGAAACCAAAACAAAACAAAATAAAACAAACCATTAAATCTTCATGGAACATACTTGGAAGGTCTCACTACTCTACAGTGATATTCCACAGAAACTCCTAAACGGAAGACCTGAAGCAATTTATAAATTAAATGAACCCCAATCAACTCTGGAGAGATGATGTTTTCCAAGGGTTTCTTATTAGGCATTAATTTTAGGACTGATTCACTGAGCACCTATCTGTACCAGGAGTGTGCCACTGTGTCGCAATAGTGATCTAAATAGACATTAATGTCACCTAGTTTGAATTAATCTCATTAAACATGTGTTTGAAATATTTTTAGTTTGTACTTAACTTGCAATAAGTTCCTTAAAGAAAGAGATCATAATTAAAAAAAAATACTTCCCAGTGAATTACAGTACAGTGCTAACAGTCCTTCTTTATTTTCAAGCCTCTATGAAAGCTCCATAAGTTTTCTGTGTAAGTGCTGTGATAGGTTACACATGCTACCATCATAACCTTAAGGTTTGCATTTATTTAATTACTAATGACAGGTTCAATTACAAATTACAGGTGTCTAATCTCTGTTGAATTCCACTGGTTTCTAAAAGATATGTTTCTTGACCATTTTCCAACATAATTCATTAGCTTTCTGCTCAGAAATTACTCTATATCTTTTGTTATTTTCATCTCAAGCTTTCCACACATTCCTCTACACAAATGACCTTGCTTCCTGCCTTAAGAAAAAAGGCAGTGCATTTGATGTAAATCCCAAGTCTCAGCTCCAAAGCAGTTTTTCTTGTCCACCGGCTATTCTTCTTTCCTAGGCTCAGAGAGGGGCCTTCTAACCCTTCTGTTCTTCCTGCCTCATCTGTGATCTTGCCATGGCCAGTGTCCTACAGTTGTCCCTTCCTCCTTTGTTGTTTCTTTTTACAAGGAAAGAAAACAAAACCAAAATTCTCCTTTGAACCAATCAACCAACCTCCTTTCCTGAACTATTACTTTCCCTCTCTGCATTCTCCATTTAACTCCTCTTTTCTCAAACTGTGGCTCCTAAGCTAGATGAGTCAGCATCACTTGGGAACTTGTTTGAAATGTAAATTTTCTAAGTCCACCCAGACCTACTGTTTCAGAAACTGGTGTAGAGCCTGATGATATGCATATTAACAAGCCCTCCAGGAAATTCTAATGCTCCCTACAGTTTGGGAACTACCTTCTTAGACCAAAGGGCTCCTCAGCTCACATCCTTTTTAACTTCTCTATAACACTTGGCAGAAAGTAGTATTGCTTCTATCTGAAGTTTAATTTTCTATCAACAACTGCAAACTCTTATTCTGGTTCTCTTCTTAACTCTCTGATCATTCATTAACAATCTCTTTCACTGTCCCTCTCCCTATATCCCGATATGAAAACATTGCTACTCTTACCAGTGTCTCCAAAATTTCACCAATTTTCCTGCCTTTTCCCTAGAGTCTTGCTCATTATGTGATCTTCACTTTGATGAAAGGTGTCAGTGCCTAGCCATTCACCCAAGCCAGGAATTTCTACTTTACATTCTTACTTTGAATTGGCCAACCAAGTTTCTTTAATATTCATCTCCACAACTCTCCCGCCTATTCTTTATTCCCAGGTGGATTGCCAGAACACTAGATCATGTCAGTAGTTTATCTGATAATAGCTACACTTTTCAATAGCCACTCCTCAACATTTCTACTTCACCATCTAAGGGGTAAGTTCTGTCATGTCAGTCCCATTCAACATGAAAAAAAAATTCAAAAATGATGAAAATTTAAAAAAAAAAAGCCATAGCTAGGCACTGTGGCCCATGCCTTTAATCCAAGGGAGGCTGAGGTAGGACGATAACTAGTTCAAAGCTAGCCTCAGCAATGGCAAGGTGCTAAGCAACTCAGTGAAATAAATAAAATACAAAATAGGGCTGGGGTTATGGCTCAGTGGTTGAGTGTCCCAGAGTTCAATCCCCAGTGCCCCCCCCCCCAAAAAATAGACCAAACAAACAAGCAAACAAACAAAAAACAATAGCTTTGATGGCTTGCTATCAGAGGCTGAAGTTTAACATCCTGAGCATGGTGAGTTGGCATTTTAAGGCAACCTACCCTCTCTGTCTCCTCTTATACCACTTCTTTTCTAATTGCAAAACCTTTCTTTCTCCCTCCAAACCTTTTGCTTCATCTAGACAAGATTGTTCACATTCTCTTCTTGCAGACTTGGTTAACAGTTTTCTCTGCCTGAAATATGCATCTCTAACTACATATGCCTCACTTATTTAACAAACATTAAAATTATTACAAACTAAAGGGCAGAGAGGATGAATGAGGCATATATCAGGTACAACTTGAGGTCATACACTCCACCTAAAGGGGCAGTATCTGATCAGGAATTGAAAAATGCTGGCATACAAGTATTGCATTTAAGAAAAGACAGAAATGGGGCTAGAGAAGAAGCTCAGTAGTAGAACACTTGTGATCCCCGGTACCACAAAATAAAGGAAGAAAGCAAAATTTAAAAAGCCAGAAATACAGGTCTTTAATGTGACATTTCTCAATTTTAAACTCTTGCAGCAAATATTTAAAAATTTAAATTACTCCTATGTACCACTGAGTGTCTGCCAAATAAAATACATCTGTTGGCTGACAATTTGGACCTTGATTTTAGTTCCACTAGGCATTAGGGATCCAAAGGTGACGGAAACAGGGCCTCTGACCTGAAGGCTCACCTTCAGGCTGTGCTCACATGCCAGTGCAGGCAGGAGAAAATAGCCTCCTACTCAGCTCTCATAATGCTCTGTTAATGTCACTTGCCATCATATTCTTTTAGCTAATACTTACTCCCTTGAATCATCAGACCCTAGAAGGGCAGAGATATCTTCTGCCGGAGAACTGGCAGCACCAGCACATTGCTAGGCAGGAGTAGGTATTCAGTTATATGTATAGAGAGATACCCACATATCAATTTGTATCAACTCGATTCCAAACCTTTAAGCTATTATGTTCTTTTCCCTTCCTAGGTTGACATGATACCTAGATTATACCATGTAAGCTATGTTCTGACTGAAGAATTTGTCTTTTAAAGAATCACACATAAAGATACACACATGTTCCTTGTATGATGGTGTCCCAAGTAAGGACTATATGGAGGTACTTTTGATAAATTGAAGAAATTATTTTAGACTAGGACAGACCTCTGCCCTTTGGAACATGAGGAAAAGTGTTTATTTATCCTGCTTGTTAATCATGGGTTGTAGTATTTTTCCATTTAACAAAAGCACTAAAAAGTCAGATTTAATTTTTACGGCAGTTATATAATTTCTAGTTATGTTATTCAGGAATATTCACAAAACTAATTGAAATTGTAAACTGTTGGACATGAATATTGATTCATTTCTTAGTAAAACCAAACATTCTCACATACTCTTCAGCAGTAGGCTTAAGAGGGGATTGTTTGGTTACTGCTATTTCATTCCTCAGTTTATCTAATTTCTAGACATAGCTACAGTGCATGTGTATAGGTCCTATATGGTTGCCATCTGCAAAGTTCATCAACATCAATCTTGCTGAAAATAATATACTTTTGTAGTTACTTGGATGCTATCAAAATGAAGAATAAAATTTTTAAATATTTTCCCTATGTATATGATAAGCAAGTTAAAATCCAAACCATATTTCAGATGTTAAAGATTTAGTCCCCTTCTATTTATTTTATAACTCTGCATGAGTTATAAACTAAATAGAAGTGCACGAATTCATCTATACATGAATTATTATATCTTTGACATTGAGACTCCATGTCTTATATTCATTGAATGTATCTTATCAATAAACAGACCATAAGGCTTACCTGCAGACTATTGAAAATGACAAAGAGAACCAACATCCAGAACTGTCTGTAGGCCATGTGCAGTCCTCCCCAGAGCCATGCCATAGAAATCAGGGCAAAGAGATATAAAATCAGTGGAATTTCTAGAAATGATTAAAAAAAAAAAAGAAATTTTTAGCTTCAGAAGATTGCATAGTTATACATATACACAAAAATATTTTGGCGTCTTTCTTGTGCTAGATACTCTATACCTAAGTACCCATTTTACCTGAACAATCTCGGAAATCCTATTCTCATGCCAAAGAAGGCAAAGCACATCCCTGAGTCCACATTATTCATGCTTTTCCAATGGGTCTGCTTTTAGGCCTGATGACTGGGAAGGAACAGAACTGTCCTTCTCCTAGACTACCACCTGCTGGACTGTTCAGGAAATACCACATGGATTACAGAGTCCCAGTGAATCTGTTCTACCAGAATGGAAGGAAGCAGGGTGCTCCCCAAATTAGCATAATCCAACCAGGCATTTAARATCAGAAATCTTATACGTTTTTTGTGTGATGGAAAACATGTTCAACTCTTTTTTTTCTTTCTTTTTTTTTACTGTGAAGACATGAAAATATATTGTGAAGGTTAAGAGCAAAGATGAAATGACGAATTTACTGTCAACCCTGAGTTCATTCTACCCATCATGTTCTCAAACAATGTGTTTCAATGGTTTTCTGAACAGGTTTTTTTTTTTTCATATCTAAGGAACTTTATTACCATTTCTATTTGTCTATTTTGAATTTTATTTGATATTTAGATAACAAGTTTTATAAGATTTAGAAGGTGAAGAGATGTTAGAAGCCATAATAAACATATGTTCAAGCTGATGAAAGATCTCAAAATGAACTGCACTACTGAGAACCCTCCTGACAGACCTCACGTCCTTGTTTACCCATCATCATCAATTAACATAAAAGTTCTATTTAAAATTTTTGATCCATTTTGAAGTTGCCAACCTGATCCTCCTTTACTCTCTGAGTACTCTGATGTATATTTTCTACAAAGATATTTTTGTAGGTAGACACAATATCATCAAATAGGGAAATTAACTTTGAAATATCACTACTATCCTCATGTCTCAGTTATTCTAATAACTTCCTTTATACAGAAAGATCYAGCCTTGTATAACTGACACATCTCTGTAGTCTTCTTTAATCCCAATGGTTCTGTGTCTGGCTTTTCTGACATGAATCCGTTTGATAATTACCAGATAGGTTTTCTTCTAGAGTGGCATTAAATTTGAGTCTATTTGATGTTTTCCCAGGATTAGAGTTAGATTGTAAATCTTGGCAGAAATCACAAAAGTGATGCTAGGTTCTTCTTAATAGCACTCTATCTAGARGCACAAGAATTCCATTTGTTCCTCTAAAGAAGATACTCATTTTGGCCACTTGAWGAAAGTAGTGGCTTCCCGGATTCTTCACTATGAAGTGAGCCTTTTCAAAGGGCAAGATCTTTGTAATTAATTAGAATCTTATGTGGCATTACTTGAAAACTATGTATCTTTTTCTTTATCAAATATTTGATTTGTTCTTTATTTTTATAATATGGACTTCYAGATTTCTATTTTATTTAGTGAGTTATTATCTATTTTTATTCTCACTTATTTTGATGCCCCAATTGTCCATACTTCAAGAAGGTTTCTATACCTTTGTTAYGGCCCTCATTTTTCTGTTAGCATCTACTTGTTATTCGCCCAATATATTTCAGACCTTTACTTTCYAGTATTGTTTTCTCTTGGGAGAGAATGATATTTAGAAACTGTGGTCTGGGGCTAGGTGTGGTCATTGTTTTTGCTGCTTCTAYGCTCTCTCAGTAACCAGAGCTAGAAATTAGATGTTTGTCCCCCACACCCACACACATACTTACATCTACAGCTGTTTTCCCTTATTCTTGGAGGATAAATTCTCAGACCCTAGAGGATGCCTGAAACTATGAATAGTATTGAACCTCATATATACTGTTTTTTCCTAAATATATATGCCCATTATGAAGCTGAGAATTTTTCTTTTTCTTTAGGACTTCTCTTTGACATATTTGAATTGCCAGTATCACTCTTGTACTTTTGAGATTTTATTAATGGTTACTTGAACAAAGCAATACTTGCTCCAGTTGATACCAAAATGACTACTAAGTGACTAATGGGCAGGTAGTGTACAGTGTGGCTATGCTGGACAAACAGATGATTAATGTCCTAGCTAGATGGAACTGGATGGCATAAGACTTAATCATGCTACATAGAATGGTGTACAATTTAAAACATGAATTGCTTATTTCTGGAATTTTTATTTAATATTTTTATGATCAAGTTTGATCGTGGGTATCTCCAAATAATGAAAATCATTAGTTCACACCAATACTTCCAGTTCCAACTCAGCACCATGGGGTTAATTCTAGTTTCCTCCCTTTCCAAATTTTGTAACTACCCTTTCTATTACTGATGGCCATGAAAGTGGGGGGGGGGGGAGGGCACGTTGTTAGATTCCACTTGGCAAATGTGTTTCTCATTATTTTTAACGTATTTAAATACATTATTCTTAATGTAGTTACCTAGTTGATGTACTCGAATCCCTCTGCTTTCATTCCTACCTTTACAACCCATGGCCTTTCCGCCTTTTGCTGTTTCATGCTGGGCCACACCACCCTCACATGGATACCCTCCTAGTGGTGACTGCAGATGGACACCCATGTTTGGACTCCTTCCTGCAGATGCATGCCTTGCCCTGACCAGCAAATGGATTTAGGATGGAACTGTTTGGAAAGGAAAAGCAAAAGATCAAGAAGGGAAAGGAAAGAAAGAACAGCAGGAGTGGAAGAAAAAGAAGGAATCTGAGCTTCTAATTGAGAAGAGAGGAGGTTTTTAGCAAGGAATGGTGCTAATATCTAGCTCAGCTATATCCTTAATCAAATAAATATACAAATTGTCTGAGTTGTTTTTATAATTCACAGAGAAAATTGAATAATTTAAGAAAAATTTTATGTAGATGACTATTTCCTTTGTCATTAATGCCTGTACCAGAACAGGAGAGAATATGTTAATATTTAAATTTTATCAAAATTCATTTTTAATGAAATCATGTACTTTGATAAAGGGCCAGAGGGCTTCTTTTTGTTTGTTTATTTGTTTTGTTTTAAATTTCTGATGAAATTAGGAAACAGCCTATGCTACACTCACAAAAATCCTCAGATTAGGAAGCAGCTTGGGCAATTTCACTCTTTGCTTTCACTGTGTAAGTACAAAGTTCTATTTAGGCTCTGTGCAGAGTACAAAAGGATATGCTCAATTTATATGGACWACTAGGACCCAGATTCCCAAAATTTGGCCTGCAGGTTCTTTTCAGTGACTAGAGCACAGCAAGTGCTATGTGCTGACAGGACCTGGTGGAGAAGCCAATAGAATAGACTAGGGCTGACTAGAAACACCCACAGCCTGTATTTTTCTGGAACTCTGCAGAAAAGTGGATTGCTTGGCTCTCCAGATCAGAAACTCTGAAAGGAACCAAGCCCAGTACAATATCTCAGTGTACTGAACCACAGCCCCAATGCTGGCTTTCTAGCTCTGCAACAGAAATTAAGACATGATTTCAAATGGGGGAACCATACCCAGAGCCATAGCTGGGTTTTGTGGACTTGAGACTCATAAAACCTGGGGATTTCTTTTAAGTGTAAAACCATAATTAGGTACAGAATCTCAGAAGGCATCTATGCAGGTGAGAGGTCCAGAAACTTAAGCTTCATCAGCTTTGTCATTAATCTACAACTGAAGAGCCATCTTTTACCCTCTTTAGGGCCTCAGTAAGAAGAGAAGAGGTGATGGGAGTGGGTGATGGCCGTGAAAGTGTGGGGGGAAGGCATGTTGTTAAATAACTACTATAGATTCCATTTGGCAAATTTAAAATTCATGCTCTATTTAGTGGAAATAACGTTAGTTAATTATTTCCCAAGTTGTCTCACATTTGATGAGCTACTCAAATTCTCTGCTGCCTGCAAATCAATGTTTAGTGAAGAAGGTATTTATAATTAGGAATGTTAGAAACAACTTATATTTAGGGTTTGACTAGTTAACATAAAACAGAACCACGTCAATGTTCTCATTAAAAAGAAGCTCCTCAAACATAGGATTGGGCCCAAGGGATAAAGGTATCTATATAAAAGACTATGTTATTCGGAATAAACAAAACAACCAACAACCTGATTCAAAAATGGAAAAAAAAAAAAGAGCTCAAACATTTCTCTCCAGTACTTTGATAAAAGAGGCCTCAGTGCTTCCTTGCCCGTTCCACCATGTGAGGATGCACCAAGAAATCACCTTCTATTGAGGTGGAGGGAGATCAAAAGGACAGTCAGTGTAGGTAATAAATGACTGGGTCAGGAAAATGGGGGTTGATTCAAGAGGAAATAAATTGCTAACACTTCCAGGGCTCTTCTCTGTCCTGCAACATGTTAACCTTCCTCCAGGGAATTGTTYCTCCCAATAAGGAGTTGTTAATGAAGTACCTCCCAGGCAGCTCCTCTCTTTCCTTTCTGGGAAGATATGGAGAGGCACCCTGGAAAGTTCCTTTACCACCTTTTGACCATGTAGACAAGATCAGGGGAGGAGGGGGCATGAGAAGAAAGGATAAAAAGGGTAGGACATCCCCACTCCCTTGGGCACCAACTTGGAGGGTCCTCTGCAGAGGAGTCTGTATAGTAGTACTATCTCTATCTCTCTATCCATTAAATAACTTTTTTTTTTGCTCTTGCCTCAGCATTTCTTGGGTGTTCAATCGTTAACATGGGGGAACGGGACACTCAGACATGATTCTCAACATTGGYCTCACTACAAATCAAAAAGCAGATCCCTTAGCAAACACCAAACTTTTGGCGCCTTGATCTTGGACTTCTCAGCCTCCAGAATCAGGATAAATACATTTTTGTTGTAAGTTAGCCAGTCTGTGGTATTTTATTATAGTATTCCAATCAGACTAAGACACTTGGGAATAAAAAGGAATAAAATTCTGATATATGCTATAAGATGGATTATCTTGAAAAGCATTTTGTTAAATAAGCCATACACAAAAGGACAAACCATTTCACTCACATTAAGTTCCTAGAATAA